TCTCTAACCAACACACACTTCTGACTCACACTCACACTTTTCCTGCTCTCAAATATAGCTGGCAAAGACAGTGATAAGAAGAATGGCCTCTCATCATTTGTGAGCTTTACTGTATGTCCTTAAATATCTCTTGGGCTTCTCACCTGGCAGTTGAAAATAAGACTCACTTTTGAATTACATTATCACAGCTAAATTAACTAGGCATGGAAAAATGCACTGTGAAGAGAATCACAATGAGACCAGTCAGATTTGTGAATTCAAGGTGTTTTTGGTCATTTTTTCTAATCTCTGCATTCATTTCAAGCTCCCTGAGGAGTAACAACCACAGTTTAGTTCGCACAACTTGTGAACTTCTGCAGGATGTGATTATGCAGGATTTCCCAGCTGAGATTTTTCTTCAGCGTCCAAAAATAGTACAGGTACGTATATGAAAGGGCATGAGAGACGTGAAGCTCAATTCCCAGGTTGCTAAGTAACAGAACATACAGGAGCATGTACAGGCCATGACAGACGCAGAAGCTCCCTGTGGGGGTCAAATCCATTGTCTTCATTTTCACACGGGCATAAAGTAATACTTACATTCGGAGCCGAGTGATCTCTAATGATCAAAGTTCACACCAGTCCCCTTTTGGTATAGCAGACACTGGATTCTGATTTTTAAGAGACAGATAGCAGTGGCAATAGAGACATACTGTAGTATTTTCGATAGCAGATATCTGATTTAAGCGTGTTTTTTTTTTATTTATCTGATGCCTTTATCCTTGGAGACTTAAATTCAAATCAATCCGTAAACTCTTAACATTTTAACAGTGCAAAAAATCCAAGCCTTAAGCTTTGGAATGGAAATCTGGTTGCTCTTGTTTGGATTGATTCCAGAGGACCACAATCTTTTGGATAGTGGAACTTAAAAATTGGAGCCAAATGAGGCTGTCCACTAGGTGAATCTGCTTCAGTTAGCAAAAGACCTCAGTCTGGGGTAAAGATTCATGTTCCAACAGGACAAAGATCCCCAAGGCTTCAGCAGAAAAAGGTGAATGTCTTTGAGTGGCCCAGTCAAAGCCCAGACTTGATTCCCTTTGTGAATATGATGGGCCTCATTTGGCCCTTACCAATCATGGCCTCCTAATAATCCCCCTCTATGAATTGGCTACATTACTCTGCTCTCCTCCCCACTGAGAGCTGATGTGTGGTGAGCGTTCTGGCGCACTTTGGCTGCCGTCGCATCATCCAGGTGGATGCTGCACATTGGTGGTGGTGGAGGGGAGTCCCCATTACCTGTAAAGTGCTTTGAGTGGAGTGTCCAGAAAAGCGCTATATAAGTGTAAGCAATTATTATTATTATTATTATTATTATTATTATTATATGAGGTTCTCAGATGCTCCACCCAAGATATTTTAGTCAGGTGGCATGCTTAACTTTCGGCTTTGATTGCTGCTTTCTTCCTTTCTGAACAAAGGTCTTCTGCCCTACAGAATCTGCTCTCGCTACTAAAGCTGAATGGTGGCAGAGGCAGCAGTGTGTATTTAACACTTCAGGCTATTGCCTGCCTGCAGCAGTTGTGCACAAATCTGAGAAGCAGACTTCACTTTTACAGAGATCCAAGCTTCCTCTCAGCCAAGCAAGGTGAGGCCTGTGTGTTCAGTCATTCTTTTTATATCTTGTGAATTAATCTCAGTGACTGAACCAAGACACAAATTTGGGACCGAGTGCTGCTTATAATGTTAAATGTTTCAGTCAACCTCTGGAGATTGGTTGTGTATTTATCTGTCATTCGTATCTGCACCTCATAACATTGTCAAGCATGCAAGCAAATTGGGATAATAGAACTAGTTTTTTTTTCATGACCACTTGAATTGTTTTTCAGGTCATTATAAAGTAATTTCGGTTTTTAGTTGTCTTCCAGTTGGTGGAAATTATGAAATAAAATTAAATTTCAATCCTGACACACTTTGGGAATCAATTGATTACTGACTACAGTAGGTTAAAATTAAGAACGAACAGCTGGAAATGAGAGAAGTCCACTCTACCCTCTATCTAACATCTAGGTTTATCAGTAGCTACGTTATTGATCCAGTGATCTCATCCAGAAAGAAGCCAGGGTATCGATTTCCACAACATGCCTGGTTAGGTTCTTCCAGATTATTTTAAAATTATTTTTCCACAACTCTTTCTGTAAAGACGTTCCTTGTGTTTTTGGTTTTAGATGTGTTCCCCCCTAATTTACACCTGTTGCCTGGTTCGTGTTGTACTGTTGATTCAAATGAAAGCTCTTAATTTAAGAAAATCTCACCCCCTGGCTTCTGGGTGTTGAGCATCTTAAATGAGTCAGCAGGAGCACCTGTGATGTTATGCTGTAAATCCTGTAGATTCGGTGTCGCAGAATTCCTCAGTGTCCTACTCCCAGGAGATGAGGGGAACCCAGGCGTCCCGCAACCCTTCGCCGGAAGACTCCAGTCCCAGGCCTTCGGTCATCGGCCGGACAGTTCAGAGAGCCCGAGGGGATGGGCAGGACGGAGACGCTGCGTCGTCCAGGTATGACTCCCAGGCCTTTTTAAAATTTACATCTGCTTCGAATGTTTTACTGAAATGTCTATCGCAGCTGATTTGTCATTTTTAGTCTTTCCAGACCTTTGAATCCTTGAGCACTAAGCTTTATGAAATCCACGTTTTAAACCCGTGTTGGCTCTGGATTGCCTTGACCCTTAACGGGTAAAATTGGCCACGGAGGTTCTGATGGAGATGTAAAACTACAGTAGCGTATGTGGGCCGATGTGGGTTGCATTATGGCTACAGGAAAGCAATATAGCATTCTGAATGATATCAAGTCTCTTGACGGTGATCTAGATACTCTACTAGGAAAATCTGTAAAGACGTGATGGGTACATTGTTTGTTCTGATACACAAGGGAATAAAGGGACATACTGAATGGCAGTCAGATTCTCTCCACAGTACTGTATGTACACTACCTAAAATTGACAGTAGATCCTAAAAAAGGAGGTTTGAGTTTGTTGCCTGTTTTTCTTCTTAAGCAAGAAAGCCAATGTTTGTGGAAATTCGAGAAAGATGTGCAACTTGCATGATGCTCAGTTTTTTAAATATAACGGTATGAGGATATATGTTATATACAGTGAACAGGGTCGACAGTGAAATAAAATCAGTGTTATTTTATGCTGTAGATTGTTTTTTAATTTATTGTGAAGACAAAAGGATAAAGCAGTATGTTAACTGTGCATTTATTGGTAAGTGATGTGATGTGAAACTTAATTTTAATATTTAATAACCTATATTAAATAAACATTTGTAGTTATATTTAAGCTACTGCAAGGAATGGAATACATTCTGTGAATTCTCTACAATATTTGAGTGATAAATATTTATGTATCAACCTGTCTAGCCTTGTATTTGAGCAAGCAGTTGAATTAAGCACAGTGCATGAAATGGCCCTTCATTACATTAGGATAATGAGTCTTGTTTAAAAATGTTTTAGTGTAATTGCAATAGCATTGAACAGACCAAAGTCGTTTGTTATCATTAATTAAATAGAAAACTCTGGTCACTTTTTTCACACATCTAAGTATGAAAGTAAAAATGTAAATTGGGCTTTTTGGGCATGCTCATCAGCATTATATTTAGCACAGAAATGTGAAACATTTTTCATGTGTAGGAAGCAATCACGCCTGCTGTGAAATATTGAAGGGGCAAACATGACTTGAGGTTGTTTTGTACCACTGAATCCTGGAGCCCTTGTTATGGTAGGCGGAATCATGAACTCCAACAAATACCATTTTGGTCGGATATCTGGTTCTGGAAATGGTTACCTGCATACAAAATAAATGTTTTAGAATTCAAGGAGGCAGATCACTAATGGAAACCAAAGGGTCTGAAGGACATAGAGCAATTCTGCCTGGAGGAACGTTAAAAATGCCCCCTCAGAAGAGAAGCCTCAGAGCAAACTACAGGGGGCACCTTGTCAGTGTAATACTTGCCAGGAGCAAGAGAAGCATTTACAAAATACTAACTCCTGGCGCTTGATAAATATGACCCTGGTGTTTTCTGTGTTTTAATCATTAACGGTTCATATGATGATTTTGCTGTGTGCGGTTCTATTAAGATTGCAGTGGAACAGTTCTAGACTGGCACGTTATTTGATCAATGCTTATAACCTGCAAAGCTTGCCACCTGCTCGAAAGACACCCCCTTCTGCTGGATAACGGCAGGATATTGGACAGCAGGACAGTGAATTGTGATGGTGTTTTTTTTTGTTGAATTTGTCGTCTGTATATATTTTACAATGAAATTATTATTAATATTTAAATGCTCTTATTTGCATGTTTAATATTTTTTTGAAAACCTAATCAAAATCCCTCAAATAAGATTTGCATTTCAAAATTGAATTTTTCACACACAGTTGGATATATTTTGGATTTTACAGTTCTTTTTTTACAGTAACTGGTAATTTGTAACAGTAGACTGATTAGCTACCAATTTTCATTTTTATATATTTGTTTGAGAACGCTAATGTTAATTACTAATTATAAATAACAAATTATAATATCTAAAACTGTTTTACAAAAGGAGAAAATTATAATAACATTTTTTATAGACAGTCACACTTCTAAGGAACAGTGCAGTGAAAGGGTAAAAAAAAACCACTTGCATTTAGTATTGAGATGAATTATTTGTATACACCAGACAGTGTCAAGTTTGTACTGTGTAATGCCTGACCTGTGTAGTACGTGTGCTTAACATGGAGTTGTAGGACAGGGTGGAACAACCAACAGTTAATGCCTGAAGCCTTCAGATTTTGCTGCTGCCATTTGTTAGAATTTCAAAATAACAAAATAACAATTATTGAGTTGTTTTTTAATTGCTACTGACAGAAATTAAAATTTCCTGGAGGATCAGGTACAACAGCTATCAGAAGTATTCACCTCCCTGGCATTTTTCACATTTT